GCTCAGAGTGGAAAATTAGGACCTGATCTTGCAAAAACAAACAGCTTCCCCTTACAACGTGGCTCAAAGACATGCCATAAATCCCAGCCCTCAAGCAGTGCCTTCTATAGTGAGGCCTGCAGAACTGCATTGTTGTTGCTCAATTAGCCATGAGAAAAAATGCTAGGAAAAATGGAAAATAATCTAGAACAAACAGATTAGATCTGGAGATACTAGTCATAATATTTTCTTCCTTCCTGTCTTCTCTCCGCCTTACTGCTCCCCTCCCCACCAAGTATTTGTTGTAAAAGCAGATTTCCCATCTTCTCTTTCCAACTAGCAATCTAAGGGAAAAAAAAGAAGGGGAAAAAAAAGAGAAAGATTTCCTATCTCTGCACGTTAATTGTAAAAGTTTCCAGGCACAATACACCCTGTGGGCATGGAAAAATACAACAGTGCTTCTTCATCAGGCTTGAGGTTGCTGGAGGATAATCAGTAAAACATGTCTTTCAAAAATCAGAGGAAAAGCATTAAAATATTTCAGACGGAAAAAATCCCATCAAATGATGCAAAAGGACTGTATTCAGATGGGGGAAGGAGGATTGGGGAAACAGGACATAGGACTTTTCACAAGCAGACAGAGCTACTTACTTTGCAGAAAAATCTATTGTAAGCAGCTTTTCTCTCTAATCAATTAGGTACATGCATTACTATTAGATGGAGTGAGCAGCTGTGCCTTCAAAGAACCCCAGCGGTGTATCTTTTGATTCTGGAAGATGTAGTGCATGTAGAAGAAAAACTCTGTAGCCTGCAACTTTAAAGGTTTCCCAAATAACCACCTCAGCATCAGACTCCTTTGTGGTACACTGTAAACAACCAGAACTTCTAACCACATCAGGTACACGCACAAAATACATGAATAAGGATGTAGAGTTGGCCTGGAAGGACACAATACATAGCTCCCAGAGCAGAGCTGTGTTGTTGAAAAAACTTCAAGCTCACATCCTCCCCCAAATCACCTTGTTTGAAATCTGTGATCATTTCTGCAAATAATCTTCCATCTTCATGAACCACAAAGAAGATCAACAAGTTGCAAGTAAACGCAGCTGGTGAAATATTGTCTATGTTGCATTTCAAGTGGTTGATGTTAGTTGTGAATTCTTGAAGGAATTACTTACGCTCAGCTTTGTGATGTCCTCCTCAGGCCCTTCGTCCACTTTGGTTGCTAACGCCTAACAGGGAGCTAGAGAACAGCACCTAACATCTGCCTCTGAGAAACCAGAGAGAAACACTACCATATCCCTACCATATCCCCTGTGTAGTGTCTTGGGAATTTTCTACACCCAAAGGCTGAAACGGTACTAGAATACACTACAAATTACTGATGGAAATTTGGTGCTTTGCCTAAGAAACCTTCCATGAAAACTGACAGGTTAAAGACATTCATGAGCTGACACTAGCAGCAGAATGACAAAATTCCTGAAAAGAGCCTACTGGTTTTTTGTATTTCTTTTTAGCAAATACTCAAAGGACCAAATGTGTTTCAATTAAGCTCTTAAAATGGGATGAAGCTTTCCAATTACTCTAGGAACTAGGGAAGTTCAGTAAGTACTGTGAATTGTCAAGTAGAAGAATTGCCTTCACCAGCAGACTAAGGATCTTTCTTGTCTTGAGGACAGCACCTATGTAATGCACAAGGGATGAACAATGGTCTAAATATCTTATAACAGCTATTTGCAACTAAACAACAAAGGTATTGAAATAGATGGATAAAAACAATCTTACTTGAGACACAAAGCATTGAGATACAGCTCAGAAGAGCTTATGTCAACACTCATTGGGCAAAACTCTTTTCAGGATAATGAGAATGAACAGGTTCAAAATGCTAAAAATAGCTCCAGGTTTCTTCCTACTGTGAAGAATTGGAGCCGGAATAAACTCCTCTCTCCTGATGGGAAACAGACTGTTCTCAGGTGAACATGGTAACTGCAGGTTCCTCCTCCCTTGCACATTGGATTGACACCTCCTCCCCCCCAAAAAAGGATAAAAAGCACTGCAGTCACAACAATGACCAGCCACCAGCATGATTATACCCCCAAGTTAAATGCAATCAGTATACTGTGATATAGGCAAAACCAAAACATTTTTCCCATTCGTCACTGCATTAGTAGAATCTTATAACATCTACAGTTAAGTATTATGAAGGATATCACAGAGGAAGAGTCTTCCAGGTCAGTAGAAGTCTTCACTATGAAAAATAAGTCGCAGGCAAGGAAAGGAGTATTCTCTCACCCATATGATCACATTATTTCTGGAAAGCACTAAGAGTCAATTCCCTAGGAGAGAAAGGCATTTCAAAGAATGTAAATCCACTTAGCAGAAATAAAAATGGATGTTAACTTTGTTTGTTTCTTTTGTCCAGGTGAAAGGCAATCCAAAGAGCCTTAAAGTGGTAAAACTCAGGAAACACCAAATCTCAGCAGCTGCACTGGTAACTGATTTACCTTTGTCACCTAGAAGAAAAAGTGTAGCCTTTTAGCCACAAAGACAAATCTTAGGTAAGCTGGAAAAATGAAGAAAACCACTCCAAGCTGAAGATAATGATAAATTCAAATAAGAGACAGCCTGTCCTCACTGCAACGTTAATTCAAGCATTGCCTCAGCCTGTGCACATAGACAAGAATCTTCTGCTTAAATTAGGTAGTACTTTAACTCTGAGCTTGCTGGCCCAGCAGCACAGTTCAAACACCAGTGATTCTTGCACTGCCAATGCGGCAAGGCTTTAGCTAATCCACTCATCACTGCTGCTGCTTAATTGCTCTTCAGCAGTAAGAACATAAAAAAGGGAGGAAAAAAAAACCAGCCCACAAATAAAGGGTTGCACTGAGTCAGACTACAGATGATCTACCCAGTCTCCTGCCTCTTAGCAGCGGCCAAGATAACAGTCTTACAACAGGGAAGGCATAGAGGGAGCAGTGCTTCTCCAGAACACTCCCTCAGCTGCCAGCAACAGCAGCTTGGGGATTTCCTGAGTCAAAGGTGGTGTCTTCGTACTTAATAATCCTCTGTGGATTTTTTCATCAGTGCAACAAAACAAACTGAGTAAGCCTTAAGTGGAAAGATAACTTAAGGAATTCAAAAGCCACAAGAAGAAATAAAGGTAAAGGACTGGCAGGCAGAGTTAGAAACTCGACTGTCCCTGGCAAGAAGAAAAAAAGAAAACCCTCGCACAGAACTTTGGTTCAAGTTTTACATTATCTACTACCCTTTGAGAATCAAGAGTTTCTCATCAGTTTTTCTTTTTCAGTTCATGTAGTCACAAGATAAGAATCCTAGAGGCAGAGCTATTACTCAGAAGTTCAAACATATCAGCTAGCAGAAGAATGCAGATTCTCCTACATTTGGAAGAGCCAAAAATGCTGTTTTTTCATTAAAATATTTCAAAAGGAGAATAATTGTTTTGCAAACTCAAACATTTAAGGTGATCCTAACTTAACTGGCAAGTCATTATGCTTTGGTTGGACTTCAGTACAGTATTTACCATTCTGACAATATGTAAAAGAAAATGAAATCTAGTTTTTACTTTGCACTTTTTCTCTTTGTTTTCCAGGCCTACAGAGTTTAACGAAACGCAGCAGCTATTTGATACAACCATGCTACACTGAAGCTTCCCTAACTGAAGCTATATAAACACATAACAGGGCACAGCTCTTTTCCAATTTAAGACAAAGCTTCCTTGATTTCTTCTGAACATTATGCTTTTCAAGAAACAGACTAAGAAATATATGGGGTTTAGTATTTATTTTTCTTAATGCTTTCTAGACACTCCCTAACAGCAGAGAGTCTAAGAAGAGATCAGGATACACAAAACCAGTCCTGACTTCAAGTGCTAGAAATGTAGGTGCCATGAAGCTCCTACCAAGCTGCTGTGTTTGTGTGAAGCTCTATTCCGTGTGTCACTGTCCTGACTATCACATCCTAACAGACCTTAAGACATACTCTGTTCTCTCCAGCTGTAGGAAGGGGAAAGCAGCCATCCTTTCACCGCTTTCTACAATTTCTTGACCAAAGAGATTGTGTTAATAGTGTAGCAAGCTAGGAAAAAAAAAAAAAAAAAAAAAAGAAAAAAAAAAG